CCTCCGACAGTGCGGCGCTCCCTCAGCACTGACCCTCCGACAGTATGTTTGGTGAGTTTGCGAATGCGATGATGACCCTCTCATTTCCCCTCCCCGTGTGCTCCCTCTGCAGCTGTTAATGATGATAAGATTGTTAATGGCTATGACTGTCCTCCACATTCTCAGCCCTGGCAGGTAAACTTCACAACGGAAAGCTATCATTGGCGCGGAGGGTCCATGATCAAAGAATGGTGGGTCCTGTCAGCTGTCCACTGTGCGAAACCGTTAACTATCCCCCACCCTCCACTGTGATCAGTCATATATAAGGTCCCTTCCTTTGAGCTGTTGTGAGTCAGAAAGATGCAGCATCATTGCAATGGGGTGGACTAGAGGTCTGTCTGGAGGAATCCACTGAGTATCTAATGTTGTATTTCTGACAATAGGAGGCATTAGACCTACACTAGGCCCCAGGGAGGGTCTGTACTGGCATCTGATTGTATAGGTGATTATTTGTAAGGCAATAATTGGGGCTTAGCTTTTAATCTATCTTCCTTTAATCTATCCTTGCATAATCATAATCTCAAATCTCCCTGCAATCTCTCTTATCTACAGAGTATCCTACGAGCTGTATTTACCACCCACCCTCTGTGTGGCCAGTTGCATGTTTAAACACTCCCTCTGATAAGTCTTGTCACTCCATTCAATCTGTCTTGTGTTTCAACCCGCCCTACGTTCTGTGGTAAATAGGTTGCAAGTTTGAAATAAAAATGGAAAGCAGAGCCCTTGAAGAGTTTCCGAAGACGAGTCATACCAGGCTTGAAAATTTTACCCTGTTTTTCCTGTCCCTCAGACGCTGCCAAACCTGCCGAGTTTCTCCAGCTTTTTCTGTGATTGTTTCAGATTCGCAGAGTCCGAAATATTTTGTTATCACCGTAAGTTTTCACCCTCCCTCAGCTCTGTTGTAAACATCAATCCTTCCCATGATCTGTCACAAGTATTGAATTTCCTACAATAGAATTTAGCTGCGATCTGTTGTAAATATAGACGTTCCTATGAGCAGTTGCAAGTTAAGGCCCACCTTCTTTCGTAGGAATAGACATCCCTACAATTGACTGTAAGCTTATACTCTCGCTGCAACTTCTCATAAAAGCTATGCCCCAGTTACTACCTTACAAATAATCCTCTGGCAATGGCCTAGTGGTATTATCACTGGGCTGTTAATGCAGAGACCCAGATAATGTTCTGGGGACCTGGGTTCGAATTTGAATTCAATAAAATAGATGGAATTAAGAATCTAATGATGACCATGAATCCATTGCCGATTGTCAGAAAAACCCCATCTGGTTCATTAATCCTGTTTAGGGAAGGAAACTGCCGTCCTTACCGTCCTGGGCCTACATGTGACTCCAGACCCAAAGCAATGTGTTTGACTCGGAACTACCCTCTGGGCAATTAGGGATGGGCAATAAATGCTGGCCTGGCCAGCGCCGCCCCTCATCCCATGAATGGATAAAGACCAGATGCCAGTACGGACCCTTCCCTGGGGCCTAGTGTAGGTCTAATGCCTCCAACTGTCAGAAATACAACGTCGGATACTCAGTGATCAATTGATAATCGTCCAGTCCTACCCTTTCCCCATTGCGATGACGCTGCATCTTTCTTAGTGGGTCTTCTGAACCCACCTACCCCCCTCCACTGAAATTACAGAGCTGAACCATCTTTAGAAAGGTCTGTCACCAACCTGTGATGTTGGCCAGAGGACACGACACACAAATCCATGGAAACTAAGAACAGCAGTAAGTCATTCATTTGACTACTGGATCCTGGAGGGTTACCGTGATTGATCCCAGAGGCGAGGGGTCTTTCTCACCGAGAGACATTGAACAGTTTAGACCGATATTCTCTGGAGTTTAGAAAAATGAGTGCACATCTGATTGAGGCCTACAAAGGGGATCGACAGAGTAGATGTACAGAGGATGCTTCCCGATGTGGGGTGGTCTAGAAAGAGAGGTCATGGTTTTAGGAAAAAGGCTGATTTAAGACAGAGAAGAGAAGGAATGATTTCTCCCAAAGGGTGCGTGAATCTGTGGGATTCGCTCTACCCCCAGGGTGTGATGAATGCTGGGACACTGAGTATATTTAAGGAGGAGACAGATGGGTTTTTAATCAGTCATGGGTTATGGGCAGGAATGTGGAGTTGAGGCCAAGATGAGATCAGCCATGATGGGATTGAATGGGGGAGCAGGCTGGAAGGGCTGAATGGCCTACTCATGCCCTAAGTGGTTTGCGTGTGGAATACGCTGCAGGCAGTGGTAGCGGAGTCAGATACATTAGAGACGTTTAAGCGACTCTTGGATAGGCACATGGAGGATAGTAAAATGTAGGGTATGCAGGGTAGATTGATCTTAGGTCGGCACAACATCGTGGGCCGAAGGGCCTGTACGGTACTGTTCTAATTTCTATGAGTTCTTATGTCCTTATTCAGCCTTTTGAGTCTCCTCCACCATTCAGTAAGACCAAGAATGGCCTTCCATCCTAACAGCATACTCCCGCTAATAACATGTCTCTGTTCATAAACCAATCCCTCTTTATCAGGGACCATCCTAATGAACCTTCTCTGAACTACCTTCAATGAAACATTGTTCTTCCTTAAATAAGGGGGACCAAAACTGCTCACTGTACTCCAGCTGTGGTCTCACCAGCACCTTGTACAGTCGCAGTAAGGCTTCCCTACTCTTATACTCCAACCCTCTTGAAATAAGGGCCAACATTCCATGAGCCTTCCTGATTCCCTGCTGCCCCCTGGGTGCCAGCTTTCTGTGTTTCGTGCACGAGTTCGCCCAAGTCCCTTTTATGTTGCAGCTTCCTGCAGTTTCTCTCCGTTTAAATAATATTCTGTTCCTTTGTTCTCCATTCCAAAATGAACAACCTTCCCACATTCTCCTCCATTTGCCAGCTTTTTGCCAACTTTCTTAACCTATCAATGCCTCTTTGTGAGCTTTTTGCATCCCTCCAACATCCTGCCTTGCTACCTATTTCTGAGTCACTTCCTTTCTCCAAGTCATTACCTTCTAAATAGAACATAGAACAGTACAGCGCAGGAACAGGCCCTTCGGCCCACAATGTTGTGCTGAACACAATGCCAAATTAAACAAATCCTTTCTGCCTGCCCTTGGCCCGTATCTCTTGCATATTCATGTGTTTTAGATATGTCCCTTAAATGTCCCTATTGTATCTGCCTCCACCACCACCCCTGGCAGCGTGTTCCACACTCCTACCACTCACTGTGTAAAAAACGTGCCCCTCACATCTCCTTTGAACTTGCCCCCTCTCACCTTAAATGCATGCCCCCTAGTATTAGACATTTCGACTCTGGGAAAGATTCCGACCGTCAACCCTATCTATGCATCTCATCATTTTATAGACTTCTATCTAGTCTCCCCTCAGCCTCGTCCACTCCAGAGAAAACAACCTGAGTTTTTCTAGCCTCTCCTTATAGCTCATACCCTCTAATGCAGGCAGCATCCTGGTAAACATCTTCTGCACCCTCTCCAAAGCCTCCACATCCTTCCTGTAATGTTGTGACCAGAATTGAATGCAATACTCTAAGTGTGGCCAAGCCAAAGCCTTATAAACATGACATCCTGACTGTTGTACTCAATTCCCAACCAATAAAGCATACCACATGCCTTCCTTGGGAATATCAGGAGCAAGATGCTTTTGGAGTACAGAGGTAGGTCAGGAGCTATGTAAACGTCTCCTCTCTCTCTCTCTGCCCTTCCATCCCTGACAGAGCTGACAGCCTGGTGGCTCACATCGGTGAACACAACACTTTCGTCGAAGAAGGCACCAAACAACATATCCAGGCTTCCAAGGTGATCAGCCACCCTTCCTACAACATTATGCTGGTCAAGCTCTCGAAACCAGTGCGGTTCACTCAGTATGTCCGTCCTATCGAGCTCTCCAGCTCCTGCCCCTGTGCAGGGCTGCAATGCCTGGTCTCAGGCTGGGGGAACCTCCCCAACGACAGAGGAGGTGAGTGGCATTCACGCCAATCTGCATTCGACCTCCGCGTCATGTTGACATTTAACGCAGATAAGGCCAAGGGTCGCCGCATAAATAAAGACCCCTGTGGTTCCCTCTGACAATGAATTTACCCCTCATGGAGCTCGTTGAGTTCCCTTGGTAAGAGCTGGAACTCATCACCTGAACCCTTTGAAGAGCAGGCTCATGGATGGACTTCCTGAGTTATAACAGGCCCCACAACGCCCTGGCCAACACCGCCCTCAGCTAATCGGCTGGATTTCTGTCTCAACGCTAATGAGATGCAGCATCACAGGAAGTGATATAATGTCACCTGATCAGGCTCTCTTGCAGGCCTCATGTTAAGAGGACGCCACATGAAGATGTTGAATAAAATCAATGGCTCCCTTAGTTCAGCAGACTCTAAATATTCTTCAATACAGGGCAGCAAAGTATTGTAATGGACAGAATTTCAGAATTTTGCAGATCGTGATTTCACGAATTTCAGAGCATCATTTCACAAATTTCAGATTTTATACATCCCAGAGTGGGGTCTCACAAATTTCAGTGTGCAATTTCACGGAAATCAGAGTGCGGTTTCACAAATTTCAGTGCATGATTTCACAAGTTTAAGAGTATCATTTCACAAATTTCAGATTTCATAAATCCCAGACTGTGATCTGACAAATTTCAGTGTGCAATTTCACAAATATCAGTGCATGATTTCACAAATTTCAGTGTGTGATTTCACAAATTTCAGTGTGTGATTTCACAAATTTCAGAGTATCATTTCACAAAGTTCAGATTTCATAAATCCCAAAAAGTGATCTTACAAATTTCGGCGTGCAATTTCACAAATATCAGTATATGATTTCACAAATTTCACAGTGTGATTTCACAAATATCAGAGTGTGGTTTCACAAATTTCAGTGCATTATTTCACAAATTTAGGAGTATCATTTCACAATTTTCAAATTTCATAACTCGCAGCGTGTGATCTCATAAATCTCAGTGCGCAATTTCACAAATATCGGTGCATGATTTCACAAATTTCAGATTTCATAAATCCCAGAGTGTGATCTCACAAATTTCAGGGCCTCACTTCACAACTTTGGGTGAGTGATTTCACAAACGGTGATGCGTGATCTCACTACTTCGAGCCCTACGTTGGCATGCCTCATTCCTGGTTTTGGGGTAGAGCATCTCCAACTAAATTCCCCCAGTTTTCAGGATCAATGTCAGATTGTAGATTAGTCAAGGTTAAGGGTGAAAGACTTTCCCTACCATTCCACAGTGAGCCAACAGTGACGAATACAGTGATTATGTGAGTGGCCTAATAGGGACGGATTGGAAGCAATCTCAAATTGAATATAAACTGTGTTTTTATTTCAGTCCAGTATCCTGCTGATCTCCAGTGCCTTGATGTCCCGATATTGTCTAAAACTTCCTGTCAAAGCGCCTACCCAGGCCAGATCTCAAGAAACATGTTCTGTGCTGGTTTCCTCGAGGGTGGAAAAGACAGTTGTCAGGTAAGGATGGGTAAGGATGGGGTACTGATGGGTAAGGATGGGTAAGGATGGGTACTGATGGGTAAGGAGGGGTAAGGATGGGTACTGATGGGTAAGGATGGGTACTGATGGGTACTGATGGGTAAGGATGGGGTACTGATGGGTAAGGATGGG